AAGTGATGCAATAAAATTTACAATAGGAGAAAATTATTTAATGCTTTATCTACTCGATCCTTTATTCTTTTTTGATGAGTCATTTATACGATTAATATTAATGGTGATTTTGAGGAAAAAAAAAGAGAACAATTTTTTCTTTTCATTTGTTAACTTCTCTGGTAAGGTTAAATTCTTTTGAAACATATTAATGTAGATTTTCTTTAGTTTTATTTTCTAAATTTATATAGGATATCTTTAGTTAAAATAAAGTTTTTTAGATGGATTATTAAATACGATGAAACGAAGGACAACAAACAACTTTCGTTATAAATCGATCGCGATTTTTAAATAAGAAGATACGTCAATACATGATAGACAAAAAGTTTTTTAGTTTATATTGTTTAATTTTTTTTGTAAATAGTTATCAATTTAAGAATGTGTGTGTTTAATGTTTAGCGTGTTAAGCCATAATATACGTTTATTTTCTATCACATTTTTAATTGTAACTAAATAATTTATTATGCTTTCTGCTTGATTGTTTTTTTTTACTGTTCTCAATTCATGTTTTATTGTACTCTCATTGTTGACGATATACACAAAGAAATCTTCATTATTAGAGAGGATTGTTGGATATTTGTTTCTTTTCTTTTCTGTATAACAAAGATACGGTTTTATTGATTTTTGATAAAAAAAAGCACATAAAATCGTGTTCTTATTTCATCAGAATACAGAAAATATTTAACTTTCTTTGCTAATGATGAAAATTTCTGTCCGTATTCTTTGTGTTAAAATGTATGAAAATGATGTCACACTTGTGTTTCTTATTTTGATTATTTTTCTCAAACTTCTATTGCGCGTGCCTGTATTTTTTGATATAAATTTGATATTAAATAAAAATTAATGTAGTACAACGGTACTAACCAAAAATACGCTTATGAGTATTTTTGTCTAGACCAGCGGAGTACACAAAATTAGATAGTAGTACTGCCAAAACACTCAATATTACACGACTAGTACTCAATCGTCATACGCAAATACTCAGATTCTAATGCGAGTACGACCGATGAGTATTCGAAACCTATGAGTACGCATGAGTACTCGTGACATTTTCTAGCGTGAGTACGACATGAGTACTGCCCTCTGAGTACTTTGACTATGGTACACTAATCAATAGTATCTGACGATGATTCAGACGTACATAAATTTTCTTTACATTTATCATGCAAAAATTATTTTGAAAAGACTAATAAAAGATATTGATGAGCTGAACACGACATATATGTTCGAGTCATGAATACAAGGTTACGTTTTTTTCTTGCCTTATTCACCTACTCGAAGAAATAAGTAGATCGATCCAAATGAAGGACATACCTATGTGTAGTTGATTAAAAGAACGATTATTAAAGTCTCTTATTCTTACCATAACAAGAAGGAAAAAAACTAGAGGTCTATTTATATCGACCAATATACGCCAATAGCGTATGATAGTTGTCGATGCCACGTTTGTTGACGAGCTATGATTTATAGCGCTATTTTTATCGTTTTCTTGCCATATATGCAAAAGCATTTATTGTTTTGTTTTTCTCATCTTGGTTTTTGTATGCATTATTGCTTCTTATGACCAATTTTTTACTTTTTTTCGAATATCGATTGTAAACAGTGAATACAGAAGCAACAATGAAGTACAAAAGAAAACAAATGAAAGAGAATAGCAAAACCTAGTCAGAATCAATAAAAATCTATTATCAAAAGTGTTGCAGGTTAAAATAAATTTTTCGGATAATTTATTTATTTTTTACATGGTGAATGGTTATCGTCAAATCAATCTTATATAAGAGAACTGCTTAAATACAGCAATAAATATTTTCAAAAATAAAGGTAGAAATAAAATCTTGTTCTTATCTAAATAAAACATTCCACTAAGAATCGCTTGAGAACTTCATTTAAAATTTTTCTTAATTTTTTATCAAAACTAAATCGTCATTTTCTTATTAAAACAATTATTTACTTTGTTGTTTAAGTTCAATAATATTTGCTGCTAAATAATACCAATAAAGAAGAATAAATTCAATTTGATATGCTTTTAATGATGGTATTGCTATGATTTCTTCATAAACTTTTGAAATATATTCAACAGAAAAATTTTTTTCCGTTCGTATAAATGTTATTGGATGTATTAATGAATAAAGTTGTATAAATTCATTATCAACAAATAGTTGTTCTTGTAAATGATTTGATAATGAAATTTTAAATTTATTTAAAATTTCTTGTGAAATTGTTAATTGTGGTAAACCATTCAGAAAATAAAGATAATAAATAATTATTTGTATAAATTGTCGTTGATCAATTAATTCAAATATAAATGGACGAATGATATATTGAAATGATATATTTGATATATCATTATCAATTTGACTAGAATCAGTTAGTGATTGAAGAAGTTTTGAATGAAAATGAATACCATGATTAAGAATTTTTAATTGATAAAAATCTATTCGTGCTTGTTCAATTGATATCCATGATTGATATGTTGAATTAAATAAATTATTTTCATGTTCAGATAATAATGAAAGTTCATTTTCAATATATGATATTGGATTTTCTACTTCAATTCGTTCTCCAAAACTAAATAGAAAAATATTTCAAAATAAAAATAAAAATCAAATATAACTTGTGGTTATTTTTTTATACCGTAGTTTATCTGTATCCCAGGTTTTTTCAATTGTTTCTAATCGTTGAGAAAAATCGATTTTGGTTTCTGTTGTTAAATTCATATGTAACTCAATCATAGTTTGATACAGACCAAGTGCTCGTTCACAATAACCAGCATCACGTAATACACATGTCCATATTTGAAACATGTCTAAGAAAAACAGATTGAAATTTCATGGTTACATTTTATCTTTAGCAATTATGTACTTGATGGCTTTTATTAACTACTGATAAGATAGGTACATGCAGGATTACGCACGTGCATTCAAGAAAACCTTTATGGATAACGATTTTATTTATTCCCTGATGTGCAATATTTTTTTATGTATTTTGAGCTCTTTCCAATATTAGAAGAAACAAGAAAAACATAAAGTCAGATACTAAAATCTCATCATACCTATCATATGATTTAATAAAAATCTTCGTTCCTTTCCACTACGTGTTTGTATATGATATGCATATGTTGAAAAATATTGTATAAATATATCATTTAATTTATCAATGGAAAATACTTCAATACGATTAAGTACAAATTGTATATATGAAAACCATGCTTCATTTATTGTTCGATCATCACTTGATTTTTGACAATCTTTTATTAATACTGCCCATTCATTTAAAAGTATATCATGACTAAATAAATGTGAATATGTACGAATATTCAATTTTAATAAACGATATTGTAAACGATTTGAATTAAGTTCTAGAGCTCGATCAACTATTGATAATTGTTTATTATATAATGCAGTTAATTTTTCTTGTTGTCCATTTGTTTTAAAAAGATAAAATTGATAATCAATTAATTCTTTCCAAGCATCAAATGAATGTGGTTGTTCACGGACAGTAATATTTAATTGTTCAAGATGATTGTCTACCGTAACGAAAGAGTCTGGTAATCGATTATCGATGTCTTCAGTTTTATGATGAAAATAACGAACAATACGCTGTTTACGAGACGGCTTGGTAATTCGGGAACCCAATGGACGTTGATTACAAAATTTAGCTCCATAACGAGGAATACCATGAGTGTATTGAACAGTTATATTGGCACGATCACGACGACGATCAATATAGAATACGTCACTAAAAAGAAAACAAGCATATTATGAAAATTTTTCTTTCTTTATTTCATTTATATCCTCTAATAACTTCGAATAAAGTTCTGTCTTCTGGTTATTGAGATGCATATTATAAACTCTTGTTTCTTAAGAATTATTAAATCATATTTAATATAGGCATAGTTACTTTTGTTTCTCCTCGAAACAGGTACTGCGAAAGAAAACAACTAAATATTCTTAGTTAAATAAGACGCATTTATTTTTTTATGATTGGTATTTTTGTAAAGTAATTTGTGTTACAATTTAATTTTTATCTATTTTCAAATCATTGGGTATGATAGAAAAACTCGAATACGAACTCGTGTGTTGCATTTTTCTTTGTTACGATGTGTTGAATCGGTTTTGCGATTGGTTTCTTTTCTTCTTTTGGTTTAACATCAACAAGTGGATCAGGTTTTATTGAAATAATTGGCCGCTGTTGCAAAGATATGATTGGTGGCTCAATTGCAAATGATTTATTCTCAAGCCAAGTACTTTCTATTGAAAAAGATTATATTAATTGATAATTCAACTTTATTTTACTTGCCATTAGCACTATTGTTACTCGAAGATGACAATGATGATGGCACTATCGTTTTTTTTTCTTCTTCGTCTTTTGCTGATGATTCAGAAGAAGCATAGGCTTTGAACATTGTTCTTTTTTCTTTTAGATCCTAATAATATGTAACATCTAGAACAAAATTAAGATGTTTGTCAGCATTTATTAATAACATCCTATTTAGAGTTAAGTTATTTATTTCAGCTAAATCGATTAGGAATATAATCAAAAAAACCTAGAGTGTAACCAAAAGATCCAGTTTCACTTTGGATAAAAGCATTTCATACTATCTTATCATATGAGATTGCGTTCTTTCGAAAACTTCTCACTACGGGTATAGTAGGATAAAACAAAATGAATGACAATATATTATTCTTTAAACATATGTATTTTGTCAGTCACTCAAAATTTCGACAAGCTTCTTTTGTTATTTTTCCAGTGTGAATCCCTCACACAACAACTTTACTCACCACCAGGTGAAAAATATCCTTACGAATATTTATATGTTTAATATAACGAGAACAATCTCGGGTTATCAAAATAAGGCTAAACAAAAAGAGAAATGAAAAAAAAACCGAAATATATCATAATGAAAAGAAAAGAATAGCTTGAAGCTAAATAAAAATTAATGTTTTATTAGTTCTTATATACTAGGTTAGTCTTTTTTCAAGTTCTTGTCTATAAAATTGAAATATTTGTCTAGCTATTGGTTGAGCAATAGATATAGCTTGTTCAAGAGTTTTCATATCAAAATCTCCACTTGCATGCATAGCTAATATATCATTTAATGTTATTTCAAAAACAACAACAAAATAACTTGTTGATGCTAATTCATCTTTTGTTTTAGGTAATGATATAAGACCTTTTGTTGGATGTTGAACAACAGGTACAGCAGCAAATGCATATTTCATTGGTAAATTTGCATCAAGCATTGTTAAACAAAGTGTATTACATAAACATGCAAGTATTGTTGCTTCACCAGATAAATTTTGTTCTTCATACATAACAATATTAATTTGTGAACGTGGATAATGTTCAGTTAAAACAGTTGAATGTACCAATGTTTCAAGCCATTGCTCAATAAGTTTATCTTTTGTTGATGTCGAATTTGTATTATTATTACCTGGACGAGCTTGAAATGTAATATCAACTTGAAGACGATTAGTGGCATCTTGTTGTTGTCGTAATTCACCAGGCCCATTAAGAAGGCATGTACATAATGCATCATTTAATGCAAATGTTGCAGAGCCAGTAGCTTTCGATATTGGTGATAATATACAATGAAGACATGAAAATATTGATGTATCATTGTCATTAGTTTGCGAAACTGTTTCAGTCATCTAAAAAGAAAAATTGTTAAAATTCTCATGTACAAACAAAAATAAACATTCATTATATTATTTAGAAATGCGGAAAAAAAGAAAGAAACTATTCTCAATGTGTTAACCAATCGAGTAATGATGATAAATTCGTTCCTGTTCGAGCATTTGTTTCTATTATTTCAACTTCTCCTTTCCAAATCGAATCCAAATCAAGTAATTCAATCAAAGCTGTCCTATTTAATGAATTAATTTCATTTGTTTTATTAAAAACTAGAAGAATATTTTTTGGTTTAATTGGTATTTGTTCACATATTTCTTTTAATTGTTCAAATGTAAATGAAATAGACCATGGTTGTGTCGAATCAATAACATAAATAATTTTATCAAAATGTGTACTCATATAAAATGTTTTCCATAAACAACCTAAGGTTGCACCAAGTTCATGTAATTCAAATGATTGATGACGTTTATTTTTTATTACAGTTAATGTTTTTCCAATAGTTGCTGTTGTATAAAGAAATTCATCATTAATTAGTTTTGATGATGAACACATTTCTTCCAAACGTTTTATTAAAAGACTTTTTCCACCCCAACGACTTCCAAGTACAAGAATTTTTTTTGTTAATATATCAGACATTAATCTATGAAACAATAGAAAACAAGAAAAAAAAATTTCATGAATGCTGGTTCTTTTAATTGTGTTTTATTTTAACAGAAAAAAAACAATATAAAACCTGACAACATTCATGTATGTCTTAAAAAACAAAAAAAAAGTTTTTCTAACAATCATAACAAAAAAGAAGCTTATGGCTTTTTGTGTATTGTTTCTTGCTTACGAGAAAAGAAAAAAAAGAGAAATATAGAAAGATAGACGGACAAAATGAAAAGAGTTTGTTTGTGTTGCTACTTATCATCACACATTTAAAGAACAAGGGATAGAAATTAAACTTCAATTAATTCTGCTTTAGAGATACAACTTCACCACCATTTGTTTGACTATCACACGATGAATACGGAGGTGGTGGTGAACTCGAAATCGACGAATATGATGGCGGTGCTGGTGATTGGGATTGATTAAAAGTTGAGGATGGATTTATTTGAAATAGATTCGCTTGTGGCCAAAGACGATTACATTCAAGACGATATTTTTCAAGTATTGAAGATTCAATTGAACCATAATCACCTGATTGCATGCTTTCATAAATATTTGAACATACCTGAATAGATCAATCAAAATGACGACATAGAAAAGAAAAAGCAAAAATACAAACTTTTAAATTTTGATCAATAAAATTTGAATTCAATGTTGTGAGAAATTCAATAGCTTTGAGATTATTCTTTGGGTTAATTAGTAGTATGACTTTGGCAGCTAAATACGCACGAAACTCTTAGTAGACTAAATAAATGATAGATATTTACCTTCAGCACGATGTGATAATGAATTTGAATGAGTTTTAATAAAACTTTCATTGAGTTCTTCAATGTTCTTTATTGACTCTCCTTGTTTAATACCAAATGTTTTTAATTCTTCCTCTATTAATGGTCGTAATCGTTCATCAGCTATAGATTCAGTTTCAACTACAATCGAGAAAAAAAAAACATTTATGAAATAAATCTTTGATTCTATTTATTTATTTATTTATTTTTTTAACTAACCTAGTTTTAAAAATTTCATTAAACATGAATGAAGTTTAGCATTATTTGCATCTAATTTCTTCATTCGTTTTAAACAACGTAGCATTAATAAATATTTCTCTAAAGATAATTTATAGATTAGTTTCTTTTCATTAGTTTTATTTGTAACATACTTCGTCGATAATAAACTTCAAAACCTAAATAATGTGTTTGAATAAAATTACCAGAAAAATCTTCAAGTGGTTGCAAAAATCGCATGGCTTCTTCTAATGGTTTCTCACACTGAAAATATAGATCGTTAAGTAAAAAGAAAATCATGATAATAATTATTATTTATAATATACATGTTCAAGCTTTTCAGCAACAATTTCTTCTTCTTTAACTTTTTCTTCTTCAGCATCATCTTTATTTCGACTACGTTGAAATTCTTTTTTACGTCGTTCAGCTTCGATTTGTTTTTGTTTTTCTTGTTGTTCACGTAATTGTTGTTTACGTAATTTATTTTTTAATTTTTTCGCTTCGCCAGCTGACATATTAGCTAAAAATAGAATATCATTGACATTCAACAGAACATATTTTGCCAATCAATAGTTGCTTTGTATATAGTAAAATTTCGCCTGAAACCTTTTTTTTCATTTTTTCGTTTAAGATCAGTTTTCAGTTTAACTCTTTATCCCTTATGAAACTCATTGAGTAGAACTGTCGATGTTGATTCAAACAGATGGTTAAGTTAAACAGGTGGTATTTATGATATTTCTTTGGTTAAATTTGGACGAAGTCATTTCGTTGTGGAAATGCAGAATTGCTCAAAAAAAAATTATCCATCCATCTTGCATGACACGAGAGTTGAATTTACTATTGTCTTAGAACGTTAGTGTTCATTTTCTGTTTATAATATGACGCATTGGTTTTGATTTCGATTCAAAAATCATCCATTCCTATTGTCAAGGTCTCATTTAGAAGGAAGGCTACAAGAGAAGCTGCAAATTCTTATCTTTTATCGAAAATAAGTGACTTAAAAACGGCTTCGAAATGCTTCTTGACTGATTATTAATTTTAATAAAGTTTTTAGGATGAATATCGTGTTATTTTCTGAGTTTATGTCAAAAACAAAATTATTCTAGAAAAATCATTGTAATGTTATTGACTGCGAGTGAATCAAAAATGACCCAAATTCCCATGAAAAATGCTGCTTCTACATCTATAATCAAGAAAACAGGTTTCTTTTGTACTTTTTTTGAAAAGAACACTTTTCGATTTCATGTATCCGAGTCAAAGAATGATGTAGAGAAGTTCAAGTTTTTTTCGATCATGTGACCTATTTAATGCTCTACACAATATTCGAGAACCATTTCTATACAATGCTTTTTTAATTCAAATCGATAGGTCCTTTTTATGGATCAAAACTAGCTCGACGGAAAATAAAAGGCCTAATGTTTAACGACTACTTCGAGTTTGGTAGTCTGCTAATTAAATATCGCGCTGTAGGAAATGTGAAGACGAAAACACACGAATCTATTATATTCGATTGTTTTTAATTGCAACCTTATCTAAAAGCTAAGTCTCAGCAGTATGACATTGATCTAGTATTTTTTTAACGTTTCATTCTTCAACAATACGTCAAGATCTTCCATTTTTGAAAGGATTGCAAGTATTCTTATTATGACCACTCTTGTTCATAAACTTGAATAGAGTCTTAATTAAATATCTTTCATTCCAATTATGAACTGTAGATTTAATATAAATGCATTAGATAAATTAAAGCTATAGTTCATTCTTATTTCCGCTCCGATAAAATCAAAGTTTTTTGTAAACAAATTCAAAGATACTGGTTTTTCCTTACCAAGATTATCATTTGTATCATTATCTTGTTCAGACAGAGGATGATCATAAAGACGAATATAAATCTAAATAATAAAAATAAATAATTTTTCTTTTTTTTTTTTAATAACTTTTATTCATTTACTTCAACAGCAATTTCAGCTGCTTGACGAAAAAATCGATGACCTTTCATATGATCTTCGAGATTGAGCATATCAACATAAGCACATAGCACCATTTTACGAAGACAATATGAATGAAAATCAAATTGATCTTCAATAAACTCTTGAAAATGCTAGACAAAGAAAAAACAATAAAAACTTATATAAATCAAAATTAAAACAAACGTACTCGATCAATTTCATGACATTTTTTTAGAGCTTCACCGTATTTTTTTAAACGACGATAAGCTCGAGCCATTTCTAATCCAAACCACATACATTGCATTTCACGAAGATAATCAGCTGGTGAAGAATTTTCCTTTATGACAAAAAACATCTTATAAATTTTTACAACTTAAAATATAACAAACATTTATACTCGTGTAAATTTTCCAGCAATTTCAAGTGCATTATTTATTTGATTAGCACGTAAGAAATATTTTGTACATTTACAGTTCACAAATCGATCAGCTGTATCAAGTGATTGAGCTTCATCCATCCATGAAGCAGCTGTTTGAAAATCACCCGCATGCTATTCATATATATAAACTAAATATTATTGAAAAATTAAGAAACGAAAACAAAAATATACTTTGAATATTTTTGCTTTAAACATATACAGTTCTACAAGCGTTGGTGTATCACATATAGCTTGATGAATGTATTCAAATGCTTTATTTATATCACCCAAATAATCATAATGTTGAGCAAGATAATACTGAAGCCAAAGAAGACTTGTCGGTGGTTCAATTTCTTTTGTTGAATTGTCAGTACCTAAAGATAATAAAAGAAAGTTATTTTCTTGTTCATTCAAACTATTAAGTATAAACAGAAAGACTATTTATGTGATTTTCTAGTATATAAAATATACCAGATTTTTCAGCAAATAGATAAAATCATACCGGATGAAGCTTCAAATGTTCCATATTTAATTAGATTATTTAAATAAGCGCATAGAAGTGTATCAACTGTTTGAACCTGTAAAAGAAAAATAAAACATATTATAGTTTAATTACAACGAAAAAACAACTCACTTTTTCTGGTGTTGTATATAAAAACTTAACAGATTGGAAGAGTGATGGTACACCTTTTTGAAGTCCTCTTTGTAAATATGATCCAACGGCTTTCGCAAAGGGTTCACCTAAACAAAAGTACGAATCTCTAGTAAGAATAAAATTGTCTTATTGACAATTTAAAAAAATTTTGAAGTGTCGTATTGGCAAGATTCTAATGCTAGCTTTTAACGGAAAACTATAATATATTTCGAATGTAAACATACTCTAATCTATCATTTACGAAAAATACAGTGAATACTGAACTAAAAATGATAGATATATAAATCCATATGAATACTATAGTACCGTTGATTTGAAAATATAATTTCAAACACACTGAGAATCA